TTATGATTGTACAATAGCTTCTTTTATCTACTGACACATCATTAATAAGAATCCAAGATTGTTGGCGGTCGGATAAGTTTTGCCATGAATGATATCAAAGCAAAGAGAAACCGTGATCTTTCATTGAATCGCATACTTCCCCGGGTAGCTGTTGTGAGCAAGAAGTGAACCGAATTTCATAATCGGTCCTATCAACGTGCGGTCCGTTCCTGCTACCCACCATGTGTTCCAAGTGGTGATTGGAACTTGTTCTTTTAGGCCTCCTTTATCGTCAATGTTCCCGTCCTACCCCCTCTACTATTGATTTTGCTCTCTAAGTCCCCTGGATCAGGAGTTATGGATTTTCGCTCAGACATTTATTTCGCAAAAAACCCGCCCCTGGGCGGAGTCCAGTCCTGCTACCCACCATATGTGTACACATCCTGCCGCCCGTGCTCCTACCAAATTCGAACGTCCTGGGTCCACTAAGACAGGAGTTATGAATTTCCGTACAAATAGACAGACAGACGGACGGACGGACTGACAGACAGATGCGAACGCTTTACAAGAATTAAGGATAGTTGTCCAGGTTGCTGTCAGGAAAAGTTTGGCTGATTAACAGTATTTTCATCGACACCCAATTTTTATGCCTTTTGGCAGCTGCTCTGCCAAGTTTGAACGCCTCAGATACAAATTGACTATTCTTGAGGAGCCCCGTCCCCAGTGGGCGGAGTCTACACCTGTCACCTACCATTAGCTTTCCCATCTTACCATGTACATCTCTGCCAACTCTAGGCTCAGGAGCAAAGAAGTTACAGATTTCCGATGAACTACACTATTCGCGTAAGCCCCGCCCCTAGCAAGCGGAGCCTAGCTTACATCACGTGTACCTAAGGAGTTCGGCTCATTCCCCACTTGTTCATCCCCAATCCCCACTTGTTCCAACCTGTCTGAGCTGTTTCATTTGATTTTCAGACGACGCCCCAGATACAGTGATAGTGATAAGATAGTTACAGTGAAACAGACATACAAACATACAGACAAACAGGAAAACGGACATTTGTGGTTTATATATAGTAAGGATTCTTCCATTCATTCGTCTCATTGGTGGTCGCGATTTCGAACGGAGGCCCAGTATTTCTCTTCCATTCAAAATGGCGGTGGTGAGTGTGATAGTGTGAAATGGTGGAGTCGTATCAGGGATAGACAATGGTTCCATCCTTCCAGTGGTATTTATTACAAATTAAAACACTTGGACAGATGGGAGGCTCGTTTAGCGTGGTGTCATGGCGCTATTCAATCGCTGGATAATACGTGTGGTAACGGCGTCACTTGGCACTACACCACTTGTGCTCACTATATTCTCTGGTAGACTTGCCCGGATACGGAACCCCTGATCGCTTTGTCCAATCGAGCCACCGGGTCCCACTTCGCCGACCACGTCCCCCACCTTCCTGCAGACTCCCGGACTCGTCTGGGTGTTCACTGGCTAACTCGACTCGATCTCTTCGAGCACTGATCATTTCCCATCACGTATGATACCATTTGCAGATGGCCGACTGGACGACTGGCTCCGTGCTCACAGAAATTTGAAACGAGACGATTTACTGTTGATGGTCATGAGCGCCGGCTGGGGTCTTGAGTATCTTCATCAGAATACTATTCTCCACAGAGATATCGCAGCCAAAAACTGTCTCTACGACAAGCAATTCGTAAGATTTCCAGTGGTTCAACGCTTCAAAAATACAGTCATTAACAAAAACAAATGGTTTTCGCTAAGGTAAAGTTGAGCGGTTTCGGAAAAATCAAGAAAACGGACTCTTACACAATGAAGTCGTCAAGAAAAATGGCCATCAAATGGATGGCTCCCGAATCGATCGAGTCTTCAGTGTTCACGCAAAAGTCCGATGTTTATGGCTATGGAGTGAGTCCACCATTGCTTAACCACGAGTTCTGCCTTCATTGCATCCTACTTTTCGGGGCGTGGTCGTTTCGTAATGACCGTTCTCACTTCAGATTCTAATCTATGAGATATTCGCCGTAAAGGAGCCCTACGAAGGTCGTTCAACTGCAGAAGCGAAAAGCTTGGTGGTGAACGTTTCTGCATTATCCGTCGTTTTTTATCCAAATATTTTCACTCTTCAACAGATCCTCGAAAACGACAGGCCTGACTTTCCGGGCCATATGATGAATAAATTATCGGAGGTGGTGAAGGAAAAGATGTGGGCAATTAATCCCGAGAAAAGGGGCACAATGCGTCAGGTATGTTTGGCATTAAATTACTGATTCTATGTTTATTTCAAACACCTTATCACATTTTGGTCCGTAAAAATCGAAGTGGTACCTGCACGGGTCATTAGGTGCCATCGAGGCGGCTTCCACTGGAAAAACTCGGCCATCATTGTCGGCGATTTGCATTTGTTAAACTGCAACTTATACGCCGTAGGGTGACGGTACTTCTCCCTGAATTTCCACGGCAAGCGGCAATGGTTCCGCAATGACTACCGTAGCCTTCCACTGTGTGTTTGAGCCTTTCCTCGATCGAGCGCGACTGCGCGCCATCAGGCGCGATGGCGCGACGCGATTTTCGTGAAGAAGTATCCACACCCCATTCGTGGTGTTGGAGCCTCTTGACTGATGCCCATTCTTTAATATTACAGATCATGGTATGGATGCAAGCCTATACCGGCATGGAATTGCGAATCGTTGGAGGTGAAGGGGTGAGGCACCACTGACTGAGTTATCAAATCTACAACTCCAAGAAAACCTTCGAGTTCCACCTTACTTGTTTGCAATGGATGCAACGCAAAGGAGATTAGTTAGAACTAGAACAAACTATCGAGGAAATAGAATAGTTTTCCGAAATAGAAAAGAAAAGAAGGAGTTTCGCAGTCAAGTGAATATAGTGATATTTGCAGCGTTCAGTAGCAGCGATTCATCAGAAAATGGACGCCCTCATCACAAAAGATGTCGAACTCCAGTCGCTACCAGGTTTCGAAAAAACACAAGCGAAAACTTTCGTGCACAAGAAGAGAAAGAAATAGAACGATCTGGACAATCCGCAATTTCTATTGTAAAGCAAAAAATCGTCATTGTAAATCCATTCCTTAATTTATTAAATATTGTTTCAAATTGCTGTGTATCAGTGTCGCCTGTATCGGGGCTGTGAGCTCGGGATCAAGCTAGAGCTCATACAGGTTGCCCGCGAGCCTCTTCAGTTCATCCAGCTGCTGTTTTCGCAAGAATCGTGATAACCTTTCTTCTTTTGCAGAGCAAGCTCATGAAGAAGTACCGCCTTCAAGGTACCGGCCGTTCTAGTGTTTGACTGCCGTCTCACATGTGTCCCCACTCCCTATTTACTTTTGCCTAGGCTTCTCCCTCCTCTACTCCCCGTTCAAAGGTTGAATTATTGAATGTCTTCTTCCTCAAAAATGGAACGTCAGAGCAATCCCCTGCGATGTTTCCTCCCTTTGTTTCATCGAAAGGAGTGCGATTCTCCGCTCTGAAGATTCTCCAACTTACGCTTCGTCCTGTCCATCGACCTTTGCTCTGGGCCAACAAAACAGCGTGGCAACCAAAACTGCAAAAAACTGCATTGGCAAATCTTATCAAAACCTGGTCCCTGATCTCTAGTCGACTTCGAAACTGTAAATTCTCTCCCAGAACATTTGAGTGGGGCGAAAATGCCAAAATACTAGTTTTGGTGATAAGTTACGCGTCCGGCGAACCATACCTGCACCTCTACTTTTTGTGATTTCGCCCATAACTCGGCACCCTTACGGTAGCACCCGTAAGAAATGCGGCGATGACAAGCGATCCACAAAACAAAAAGATCAATCGATACAGTTATCATCGTTCATGCAAGCTATGGTCTATAAATAGAATGAGGACGGGTGGTTCATCATTTTACTCCCATACTCGCCTTTACTCACGTAGCAAATGCCCAAAGCACCGGACATTGCTCCACAAGCTGAAGCTGTCAGTTGTTCCACCTAATGCCCCTCCTCGTGATGCTGCACTGTCCTGTTTCAGTTCGATGTTTCACTAATAAAGTACGATTACTTCCATGGGCTGTTACCACGTGAAGACGTTGCTGTTCTACTCACCAGACATGGCGATTTTCTCCTACGACTGAGCGAAGTAAGGCGTTTTTAACATACCTCCAGACGCGTCCACGGCGATCCATCGGATGTAGTTGGGATATCGATCTGAGCGGCGAACAGACTCGAAGACTCGCGCACGTAGCCGGTGGTGCCGGAGCCGCAAGAAGATTTGGTGATGGGAGGGGTGCAATACTATCGGTTCAGCGCAACCAAACATGACGATCGCCAAAGTATATAGTTGATAGGGCAGTGT